GAAGGGCCCACCCGCGTGCCCCCACACGCTTCTTACCCGGTTTTGACGAGTTCTGCGCTTCCACGCATGCGCAGGATGCATACAGCACCTGCGCGATCCTCCAGGAGCAGCTGGAGCATCGCACAGACGCTAGTACGCATGCATGCACCGCGTGTGTGCACGAGGACGCTGCCAGCCCCATTCCAACCGAACCGGTTGGAACGGGGCGAGAAACCCACCCCTGATCTGAATACACACACAAACACCAAGATTATGGGGCTATCCAGTTACAGGATAGAATCAGGAGACATAAATAGACAGCATATAGGCAACATATAGAAGAAAAAAGTAAGAATAAACTGTTTACCTACAAAGAAAGCCAGAATAGCTAGCATTAATTTAGGAAACACTTGCCTTTGGACTCATAATCAATCTCAGTATTTTTGGTGATTTATGTTAAATAGATTCATTATATATTTTTGCAATTTTCTATTGTAGAATGAAATTGAGAGAATGGAAGCGGAAGATGCATTAATATGTGAAGATCTAGATGATGCAGAATGTGGAGAGGAAGAATTTGAAGAAACCACAAAATTAAAAATACTCCGCAGAATTGCCTCCATAGCTTCCAAAGTGAAGGAAATTATTGGTAACCTTATAACCACAGCTGGAAAAGTTGTTGTTACAATTTTACTTGGTACAACAGGTGGGCTCTCTTCCTTTGCCAAGTTCCTCAATAATGGTTACAATTATGATTGCCATTAATACTTTTAGCATACTTGAATAGATTTTTTGATAAATAAATATACAGTGACCTCATTTATGTCAAATTTCATTGCTTTTGCATACATTTAATATCCCTAAAATGTGTTATGAAAACTAGCCTTCATCAGGCATCCAGCCTATAAATGGCAAGATACATAAACAGGTAGCTAATTATATTATCATAAAAACAAATGAATAGATGTGTTACACTGATTCAAATAATGTAGATTATCAAATTTGTAGACGAATACATTTATTTCTGCTTTGTGTTATTTTCCAATCACACATGTATAACTGTATCACTTTCAGTTTTATACAGTATTGATACGTTCTTAAAAAAGGGATACTTTTTTGCATCTAAATGTGCAGTCTAGAATATACTGTTTTTTAAAGTACATTTCCTGATGTTTCTTAAAGTATATTTTGATAGTATTTTATGTGTTGAGAATTATATCAAGTCATTCAGGTTGGTCCATAAATAAATCCAACTTTGTGCAATACAGAATATTAAAATGCTATCATGATTAATAATTTCTATTGCAATACTTTTAAACATCATGCTTAATCCATATATAATGAGTATAGAACATTTACCTTCCATTAATTTTTTTTATAGGAATGATGTTGCCTTCCCTGACTTCAGCTGTATATTTCTTTTTATTCTTGGGCTTGTGCACATGGTGGTCCTGTTGTCGAGCATTTGATCCTCTGATCTTCAGCTGCCTTTGTGTGTTAATGACAATATTCAGTGGAGGCCATTTAATTGCACTTTATCTGTACCAATTACAATTTTTTCAGGAAATCATTCCACCTGGTGACTATTATGCCCGGTAAGAGGTTTTTTAAATAAATGGAATTATAGCATTTTTTAAATAAATGGAATTATAGCAAAATAGCACTGCTGGCTATTGGAATAGATGGTAAAAGATAAAGATGGAATACATTCAGAGAAATGTAAAATACTGTATTTTTCGGAGTATAAGACATACCAAGATTTTGAAGAGGCAAATTTTAAAAAAAGTTTTTGCATTCTGCAGACCTCCCAAAAATGGCCCATTTTTAACAAAAATTGGCCTTTTTTGTAAAAAAAAAAGGGGGGGGCACATATAGCCTTTATGAGGCTTGTGGATTGCTCCTTGGGGCTGGGCAAAAACAAGCAAAAACAGCCCGTTTTTTGCTCATTCTTGCCCTCCCCAGCCCCCAGGAGTACTCTGGAAGCCTCCAAAAGGCTACACACAGCCATTTTTAAAGGTGGCAGGATTTCGGGAGGCCAAAAATGCTGTATTCAGTGTATAAGACGCATCCAGATTTTCACCCTTTTTTTGGAGGGAAAAAGGTACATCTTATACTCCAAAAAATATGGTACATGCCATAGTGTAAAATCAATATATTTTTAAGGAATTGTATTTGTTTATTAAATTTATATGCCATCTACATCACTACCCATAGTGACTTTGGTCAGCTTACAAGGCCTTGAAAACATAAATATGAAAACATTGCAATTAACAAGAATTAAGTAAAAGCTGAAAAGCAAGACAACAAGGTGATGTGGTCATAAGCGTTTATCTTTCACTCAACCAACCATGATAGCACATCCCCATCAGGGTCCTATGCCAAATGGCATAACCATATTTTAAGATCCTTCTGGAAAACCAGAAAGATGGAGGCAGATCTCACCTCTAGCAACAAGATGTTCTCAGAGGACAGAGGCCACAACACAGAAGGCTCTGTATTGGCTGAAATTCCTTGACTAACAGGCTCTACAGGAAGTACCTTCTGCTGGTTGATACATGTTGATTTGGAGAAAAAAGAGATATGTTATTAAAGGAATAATAGGTTGGAATGGCAAAATCATAGGTGTGGAAGATATTATGTATATTGGCTACAGAACTTATGGAACTTCTCTGTAGGATTGATACTGAACTGTTGCATTCTATAGATAAAAAATGCCAATTGGGGGACATCCATTTTTTAAAAATTGAAATTTTAGGATAAAAAAATGTTGTTCACAGAATAAAATAATACAATGAATTTCAAATGTAGAGACAAAGATTACAAAATATTTACCTTGTCTATTGGAATACAAGATCTATTATCTCCCAGTAAGTCCAGAAAAAGTAACACACCAAAATTAGTTATATTTAAATGAATAACATTTTTCTTTACTTTACTAAGCAGATTTGCTTCATTTTTTTTTAGATAGGAAGCAATCCTGTAAATATACAGTTATATAAAAATTTAATTTAGGAAAAAAGTGTGATTTCTGTTCAGATTGCCTAAATCAGTGTGACAAACTCGTGGCCCCATGGGCTAGATGCATCATGCGCTACCCCCGGTTTAGCAAAGGGGGGAAAGCCATGATACATTATGTGACAACAACATGACACCACGTGTTTGACACCCCAGGCCTAAAACTTTTCTTATTGAGGTTGGGGAAAAAGACAGTGTCTTACTGGGGTTTTTTTTTTGTTTGTTTTGAGTGACAAGACAGAAATCTGTTACAGGTTGAACTTCTAAAAGGTGCAAATTTTAACTAATTATTGTTATTATAGTCTGCAAATAATCCTACCTGCTTTGCTCTATGATTGAATGTGTATGAAAATGCAAGCTTTCTTCTGCCATCTACAGGCCAGACCAGGTCAGGCCAGGCCAGGCCAGGCCAGAGTAGAAAAAAAAGATAAATGGAAATCCTTAAACAGTCATTCATTTATATTTCAATATTCGAAAGTGCTAAATTGTATGCTTTAAACTTGCAGAATTTGTGCTGAAGCTAGGAACCAGCAGATTCTCATTATTACTAATTTTCTGCTTTTTCATGTAATATTTTTAAATATTTTAATATAGGATGCATTGTTGTATTTTTTTAAAAAATTATAATACAGTTTATGATTCTAAAGACTACATTTCCTTTCAGAAAAGGGAGGAAAAATGTTAGGAAGATAAGTATATCAAGGAAGTGTAGGCAATAAATCCGTGTGTGGGTGGGAGGGAGGGAGGGAGGGAGGGAGAGAGAGAGACAGGGAGAGAGAGAGAGAGAGAGAGAGAGAGAGAGAGAGAGAGAGAGAGATTTTGTAATCAACTATTCTGCATAATGGACCAAGAATAAGCGTTGTTTTCCTGTTTTTGGAAAGCAGCAATATTTTTCCCTTGACATCATCACGAACCTTAGTGCTGCATCAGTATCTTGCATTTGTATTAAGGTCATAGGTTGCGAATGTGTCAGGAAAAGCAGATCAAAGTGCATATATAGAGAGATATCCTTATATTAATTTACTAAGCTTTTGCTGGGAAAATACATTTTCAGAGGAATAATGTTACAACCATCTGCTACATTTACTTTTACAGTATATTGTGTAATGTTATTTAAAAAAATCATAACATTCTTTTTGGCATCCATAATCATGTTAATGTTCTTTTCTAAATTGCCTATTTTAATGAAATATACTTCATCAAAATTGTCATTAGAAAATTTAAATTCATATTTCCTTTTCTCTGTTTATAGACATTAATTTGATTAAAAAGATATACACATTTCTTTCAAAGGACATTATTTTACAGTACAATATGGAAAGCAATTTTTCAAAGACAAAAAAATAATCAGTTTAAAAATCACTATAAATCAAGGGAAAAGAACTGTAAAAGCAGGAAAATTTATGAATGTAGATCAAATAAAACTCCTTAAGATTTCTCATGAAAACAAGGAATGAAAGGCCTATATATAATTCCTAGAAACATAGAACGTAAATTACATGACTTTAGAGGCCATCCAATTCAACCCCAACATGGTGTATACTATCCGCAACAGGTGGCCACTCAGCCTTTATGTGAAAAGCTCCAGACTTTTCTTGGTAGCTTCTGTGCTTGTTAAACAGTTCTTACTATCCGGAAATTCATTCTAATATTTAAACTGGGTCTTCTTCTTTTTAATGTCAATCTGTTGGTCATGCTCTCAGTTTTAACAGAGAACAGGTTTGGTTCCTTTTCCATGTTAATCTTTCAGATGTTTGTAAATTGCTGTCTTATCTCCCCTGTCTTCTTTTTTGCAAAGAAAACATGCCCGGCTTCTTCTACAATTCTCATGAGGCTTGATTTCCAGTGCTTTATAATCCTAGTAAGTCTCCTCTGAATCTGTTCCAGAACTGGACACAATACTTGAAACATGGTCAAACCACCATACCGTACAGGAAGAATTGTTATCATGCATATCTGTATGTTAATGCAGGTCAAAACTGCTTTGGACTTGATATAGTTATCTTGGTATTTTATGCATATTGATAGGAATAATCAAATGTATAGGTACACAGTTGGAGACTTATGGTAGCTTGGTTGTAGTGAATGTGAGAGTAATCTATAAATTCTAATTTAGAGGATCACCTGCTCAGGTTTGAGCAAGCAATGGGATGCAGCAATTAAAATGCCATGAACTATGTATCCAACCAGTATAGAGTGTTTGCTCAGGCACTTATTCTAATCAGATTCTGCAAATCTTCATTTTCCCCATAAATATCCATCTTGTTTCTGCAGGCTTCAGAAAAACCTGAGTATATGATAGGCCTTCACTTGCCCACTATTTCTTATAAACATGAGTTTGCTAAATTTAAGTGTTTAATGTTTTACTGTTTTTATTTCTGTTTTATGATGATGTCCGGTACCCAAAGTCATTGACAGGAGATTGGTGGCATATAAATTTAATAAATGAATATATGTTTTTGACTGACATAATCCTATTCTTCAGAAGCATGAAATAACTCCAAAGTTATCCAACAATCTGCTGCTTCCTGTATAAATTTCTTCCTACAGTTATAAATTTGCTTTAGAGGCTCTCAATGTGTTTCAGCATGAAGGTGAGTGAGAAGAGAGATCAGGTCCTTGGTTATAGCAATTATGTCAACAGCTTGGTGTTAACTCTTTCTTCAGTTTATACCAAATTGTTAAAATATTTATTTTCTGCTTGGCTTTCATGCACAGGAAAATAACACTGTTTAATTCTGCTCTTAATTTTGCTGTGATGCTTCTTAATACTTTGAAGATTTTGAAAACAGAATCAGTAACCTACGGCATATTTTATTAATCTGAATATTTAGGGAACAAACTGAAACAATCTGTTAATTTTGTGGCAACTTTCAGTTTTCTATGATGAAAACCATACAGCTTATTCAGATTGTTGGGAATTATGGAAGTTGAAGCCTGTATTAAATACAAAAGATAGTGGAAGGATGGCTTGGATAAAATGTTATATTTACGTAATGCCCTATTTTTACAGGTTGTTTGGTATCACTCCAGTTATTCAGACCAACTGCTCAAGCACCTGGAAACTAATAACCAATCAAAAGTTGAAATGGTATCACCATACCAACCCTATCTTGCTGCTACTCTTATATTATACCTTAGCAACTCTGATTCGACTTTGGTTAAATGAACCTATTGTACAGGTAAAATAATTACCTTACTTAAAAAAAAAAAAAGCTTTATAACAAATGCCTACAAATCCGTTCAAATTGCTTTTTAACCGTGGTGCATAAAAAAAGGACTACATTTGGATTATAAATGAAACTTTTCCTCTCCTCCTCCAAAATATTATTAATAACTAATATTCATCTGTGATATGCCACAATAGAGTTTTCCATTTTTCTCATGTTTCCTATCTCAAAAACTATACTCCCAGCATTGAACAATTGTAATCTGACGCAACTTCAAGAACCACAAAACAGAGCAGCCTGAGGGTTTGTCGTCCTTGAAATAAGGTGCCTAAATTAAAGCTCTGTAGTATTTAGAAACATGTTTTATAATGGCTTCCTATCATATATACATAGTTTTTATTGACTGATGTTTATGAAAATAGTTTCAGAAATTCCATAAAAATATGGATTATAATATCTTATTTATTTATTTATTTTATTGCAAGCATAGTGACTGGCATAGGTTTATTTCCAAATATTTTGGTGGAGATGAATAAAAAAATCATAGTAAATGTTTAAGATGCGATGATGTTTTTATCTCTGTTGAATCAGTGGTAGGTTTCAAAAAAATTTAGAACCTCTTCTGTAGGTGTGCCCTGCTTTGTGGGAGTGGCTTGCCAGCCATGTGACCGGGT